ATCCATCCATCCATCCATCCATCCATCCATCCATCCATCCATCCATCCATCCATCCATCCATCCATCCATCCATCTTTACCTGCTTTTTCCTGTTTGGGTTGCAGGGGTAATACTAGTGTCCATATCCAGCAGCCACTTTGTGAGAGGCAGGGGACACCCTGGACAGGTTTCCAGTCCATCACAGGGACACATGGAGACAAACAAGACAAACAACCATTCACTCTCTCACTCACACCTAGGGACAATTTAGAGTTACCAATCAGACTAACATGCATGTTTTTGGTCTGTGGGAGGAAACGAGTACCTGGAGAAAACCCAGGTGTGCACAGAGAGAACATACAAACTGCACCCAGAAAGGTCCCATGCTGGGATTTGAACAAGCGACCTTCTCACTGAGAGGCGTCAGCTCTACCAACTGTGCCACCGTGCCTCCTGGACACTAGGCGGTGACTCACACTTGAGATAACTGCATGGAAATGTGTTTTTCTCTGAATGTGTCTGCAGCCATTTTAAGCAGCTTGTTTTAATCGCAGCCTATTTTTGTGTGCACAGTTTGCAAAACTGCAAACTTGTCCGTGCACATTACGAAGACTGTTCACAACAAACCTGCCTGAGCACATTTTGGACCCACTGCAGAAACTTCCCTTAAAGTTTGTTATTAGTGAAGTCCAATTTTAAATGAAGACCTAGTCTATCTGGAGCAGTTTAAAAGTTATTAAGCACGGACTTCATTTGTACATTTAACACTTGTAGTTTAGGATGTTTAGCCAGAAAATAACTTGCATATAAATGTCTAAATATTCCAGTTCTCTAAAAGTTCTGGAAACTAAACTGTCTCCTGTGATGACTCTGGTTATTTTGAGTGGACACTTGTCACCTGATGTTTGGAGATGTTCTTGAGACCAACTCATGGATGTTGGTCACCACCTAATGTCGTGTTCCGCTCTGCAACAGAAACCTTGTTCCATGGTCATGTGGAGAACATGGAGAACACCATATATGAAAAACCAGACTGAGAAAATGATTCTGGACTTCAAACCGTTTCTTGTTTGAAGAAGTAAAGAGGACCAGATCTGCAGCTGGATGACCTGCTGATGGAGACCGTCTTTAATTTAAACACACTTTGGTCAAATGTAGATCTGACATCATTCAGATGTTTCGGCCCACAGGTCACAAATGAAAGTATGTGGCCCTGCTGCAATGCTGCCCAACTGGTTCAACTGGTTTGACTGGTTTATGGGTTGGCTGTTGGCAGGTAGAAATACACTTCATGTTTTTACCAACAGCTAAAAGATACTTTACACATTTTTTATTTTATTTTGGCAAATAAAATGCAAATAAGGGCGGCAGGGTGGCTCAGTTGGTAGAGCTGCCGCTTTTCAGTGAGAAAGTCACCTGTTCAACTCCCAGCACGGGACTTTTCTGGGTGCAGTTTGTATGTTCTCTCTGTGCTGTGTGGGTTTTCTCCAGGTACTCCAGTTTCCTCCCACTGACCAAAAACATGTATGTTAGACTGATTGGTGACTCTAAATTGTCTCTAGGTCTGAGAGAGAGAGTGAATGGTTGTTTGTCTCATTTGTCTCTATGTGTCCCTGTGATGGACCTGTCCATGTTGTCCCCCGCCTCTCACACAGTGACTGCTGGATATGGGCACCAGTGACCCCCGCGACCTGAACAGGAAGAAGTGGGTAAAGATGATGGATGGAAACAGTCAATAAATGTAAATAATGATATGCAGCTATATTCATTTTTATTCAAAATATTGAACTCTCCTCACCACTAAACTTTCTCAGATTTCACATGTAGTCCTGCAGTAAATATGAAGGAATTAAGTGGAAAATAAAACTATTTGAAGGCAGCACGGTGGCGCAACTGGTAGAGCTGCTGCCTCTCAGTGAGCAGGTCCTTGGTTCAAACCCCGGTCCAGGGGCCTTTCTGGGTGGAGTTTGCATGTTCTCTCCGTGCATGCGTGGGTTTTCTCCGGGTACTCCGGTTTCCTCCCACAGACCAAAAACATGCATGTTAGGCTGATTGGTAACTCTAAATTGTCCCTAGGTGTGAATGGTTGTTTGTCTCGTTTGTCTCTGTGTGGCCCTGTGATGGACTTGCGACCCGTCCAGGGTGTACCCCGCCCCTCGCACAGTGATTGCTGGACATGGGCACCAGCGACCCCCGTGACCCAAAATGAAATAAGCGGGTAAAGAAAATGGATGGATGGATGGATAAAACTATTTGAGGACTTTTACATTGTCAAATGTGTGCATAAATATGATGAACAAACAAAATCCCTGTGGCTCACCCTGAGTAGTAATGAATGGATGCAGCCAAGGCGTTGCCCGAACCACTAGGAAGGATACCCAGGGGGGTCTGGATGGCCTCCTCACAGTCCGAACGCTCCAGCAGCCCATTGATCACCTGACACACACACACACACACACACGCACGCACACACGCACACACACACACACACACGCACAGAGTTCAGGATAGGTAAACTCAAAACAACAGTCACATTTTAGCATACGTGCTAAGCATTAAGAGCAATGAGTGCATAAAGCATTGAAATATTTCCCTCCAAACAAATGATTTATTTATTTATTGATTTATGATAATTTTAAACTGTGTCTGAGGACAAACGTCTTGAACAACATAATGTTTGAAAAATAAAAATATAAATTCTGATTTACTACGAGACGTGTTAAATTTACTAATGCTTCATTTATTTAATTGTAACTACATGGATGTTAAATAACAGCTCAACAATCATAACAAACATTAAATCTTTGTTTATTAAACTCCCTAACAAATTAAAAGTTCACAGTAACATGGAATTAGTGGCACTTCAGTGAGAAACCTCGGCTCACAGGTTACTGGAGTCAAACGACCAGTGGAGAAAACACTTTTTTACAAATTACAGATGTGCAGCTAACTTTGAGTCTTTTCAAAGTAAAAGCATGTACAATCTTAGTTCAAGGATTCAGTGAGACCAATGGGAGCACTAGTGAGTCTGCTGTTTGTGACTTAAGAATGTATTTGCCAAATGCTGCAAGATACAATTTACTCCTTTAATGCAAACACATTTTTATGCAGATTCTTTACATTAGGTAAGTTTTTTTTAACTGACAGATGTTTTACCATACACATTTCCAATAGTCTAATGTGAGCTCACTAGACTGAGGAGGTTTAACTGTATTTTATCTGCATTTGAAACTTATCACATTCTGATGCTTTGTCTCATGTGAAACAAACTGATATTCAATTGAAATTGAAGTGTGAAATTGGCTCACTATTAGTGCTTAGTGTATTCTTAGTTTAGTATATGTCTTAGTTCATATCTTAGATCTTATTACTGTTTTTCTTTACAATTTGTGTTTTTGTTGGATGTAACTGGGACCATGTGTACAGAGTTTTGTTCCACCTCATGTACCACATGTGATGTGAATGACAATAAAGAACCTTGAATCCTTGAATGTGCAGCTAACTTTGCATCTTTTCAAAGTAAAAGCATGTACAATCTTGGTAACGGTGCGTTTATAAAACAGAAGAAAATAAAATCAGATTTCTGAGAGTGACATTGGCCAGTGATCTCTGACACCACAAAACGTTTTCTTCTGTAAGGACAATTTATAGAGAAACCTTAATGCCAACCTCCAGTAAGCCTCAGTGCGTAACTGTTGGATGATGACAGAAACAGACTGCATGGCGTGGATACTGGTTAATGTTAAGTGGATACTGGTTAATGTTCAGTGGATACTGGTTAATGTTAATGCTGACAGTCACAGAGATGGAGGTTCATCAGTTGATGGAGGAGCTCATTTTGTTTCAGGATGCTGGATGTCGTGCTGACGACCGTCGAGTCCTGCCGTTCATTCAGCAGCACCCACACACAGCACGCCCACCTCTAGCAGGAGGGATGAGGTCAGACTGCAAACACTGAATTCCAGAAGCTAATGTTAGCTCTAAGCAGCTAATACTCCCATTGTAACCACAGCCACACTTGGTATTGAGCAGCTCACCAGGTTTAACCACCCACTTCACCTCTTGCTCTCTCTGAGATCGGATGCCTCTCCCTCCCTCTCCGCTTTGCTTTGTTGCTCTGTCTGTGAAACTGCTTGTGAGCCTCTCTTGCATTTCTTCTGAACCATAATTATGGACTTGTTTTGATCAGTTGGTCCCTCAACTCAATTTACAACATTTCTTCGAAGAGAAGACAGGCTTTAGACGAGCCGATTTGCCCTGTTGGCACGCACGCAGCTGGATATCTCATCGACTGGAAGACTTGATGATGTGTCTATCTCTGCTGCCATCTGTGGATTTTAAGGACGCATATTTAATTGGATTTACGATAACTGGTTCCTGCTTTTTGGATTTGGCTGGTTGCTGGTTTAATCTACAATCAATGAAGTTGTCAGCAGCAAATTTGGACCCGATCACGCTGCTTGCCTTTATGATGGCTTGATTCGTGTCTCGAGTACCAAATGCTTTGGGCTGAATGGATCAGATCTTGGGGATTTTACTCAGTCACGTTCCATCGGTGTGGCCATGTAATTTGGACATTTCGGAACCGAGTCGACCAACACAGACTCAAGGTAGATGTCATTAAGTTCTGCCTGTCCCCAAAACAACTGTGTTTATCTGAATTTGGTTCCCTTGGCTGTCCTTGAAGGCCATCTTATCTAAATTTTGGTCACCTTGGCTGTCCTTGAAGGCCATCTTAACTGAATTCGCCTGGAGAAGATGTGATCTGATGCTCACCACCCCCTCCCTGAAGAATTTCCAACTGATAACCAGATGAAACCAGCTCAATAAACTTTGTGTCATCATTTCAGGACTCTTGGATTCTCATCAACGTTATTCTTGGCCATTCCTCGACATCCCTCGAGAATGTTTATGGATCTCACCGGAGGACATTGGCTGATTATTCCATCCTTATCAGAACTCTGACAGTACCCTCGACAGCATCTATGAACATTGCTGATCGCTCTTGTCTCCCTCGTCTGCAGAATGTCTACGTAAACATGTGCTTGTTTGTGCGAGGTGTTTTTTTAATATTAGAGGGTTTTTTTTTCTCAGGCAGGAAAAAAGTCTGATAGGAATTTTTTTCGCCTCCAACACCTACATGCGTCCAGTTAACCACTGTTTTTGTCTGTCCAAACAGGTCTCACTTGTAAATGGGTCTTTGAGGCTCAGCGTGATTTATCTGTTTAAATAAAGGTTGAATGAATGAAAAAAAACCCTCTACATTTCTGGCCAGTTCCACAGTAGTTGTTGCAAAGCCCCAGGAGAAAAGGTTCTGCCCAGAACAAACACTCAGAGCTCCCGGAGAACAAAGTGAGGTCATGTTGGTTCTGCAACATCAGAAAGAACTGACTTCTTCACTTCTACTGGAGTTTTCAGCTTCGGTCACCACAGAAGCACTGCTGATGACCAGGGGTGGAAGTAACAAATTACAAATATATCAGAGTCAGAGTCAGAGTCAGAATTTCTTTATTGTCATTCACACCTCATGTGGTACATGTGGTGGAGCGAAATTATGTACACAGGGTCCCAGTTACATCCAACAATAAAATGTATAAGAAAAACAGTAATAACATCTAAGATATGAACTAAGAAAAACATCAACTAAATATACACTAAGCATTCATAACATAAAACATTGAACATCAGCACAAACATGAACATGAGTCTGTGAGCAGATGAGCACGCATGAACACATCAACATTGAAACAGATCAGCAGCAACATGAAACAGATCAGCAGCAACATGATGTGATTTTTCACAGTGATTATTCTAGTTAGAGATTCCTGAGTCTAACAGCCTCAGGGTAGAAGCTGTTCCTCAGACTAGTGGTTCTACACTTAATGCTCCTCAACCTCCTTCCTGAGGGGAGTGGGGCAAAAAGTGAGTGTGCTGGGTGAGTGAGGTCCTTAATGATGCAGGTGGCCCTCTTCCTGCATCTAGTGGTGTAGATGTCTGTGATGGTGAGGAGGCTGATTCCGACAGACTTCTGTGCAGCCTTCACCACTCTCTGCAAAGCTTTTCTTTCTGCAGCTGTGCAGCCTCCATGCCACACGTTGATGCTGGAGCACAGGATGCTCTCCACTGCACACCTGTAGAAGGAGGTGAGGACTGAGCTTCCCAGACCATCTCGCCTCAGCTGTCTGAGGAAGTAGAGTCTCTGATGAGCTTTCTTGATCAGGCTGGTGGTGTTGTTGCTCCAGCTCAGGTTGTCATTCATGTGTACACCCAAGTACTTGTAGCTGGAGACCACTTCCACCGCAGATCCTTTTCTGTTCAGGGGGGTGTAGATGTTTTTGTTCCTTCTGAAGTCCACAATCATCTCCTTTGTCTTCTTCACATTGATGTGAAGGTTATTCTCTTTGCACCAGCTCTACAGGTGTTCCACCTCTTGCCTGTAGCTGGACTCATCATTGTTTGTGATGCATCCCACCACCGCTGTATCGTCTGCAAACTTTACAATGTGACAGCCTGGATGGGTAGCTGCACAATCATACGTGAGCAGAGTAAACAGGAGGGGGCTCAACACACATCCCTGAGGAGAGCCAGTGCTGAGGGTTATGGTGGAGGAGGAGAAGTTGTGGATCCTCACTAACTGTGGTTTGTTTGTTAAGAAGTCTAGTACCCAGTTGCAAATGGAGGGGCTTAGTCCTAGTGTGGATAGTTTGTCCATCAGGGTTTGGGGGATCATGGTGTTGAAGGCGGATGTGAAGTCCACAAAGAGCATACGGACGTAAGAGTTTTTCTGCTCCAGGTGGTTGAGCGCAGTGTGGACCACAGAGGAGATGGCGTCCACTGTTGATCGGTTCTCACGGTATGCATACTGATGAGGGTCCTCGTTGATGTTGATGGTTGTTTTGATGTGAGTCATGACCAGTTTTTCGAAGCATTTAGCAACTATCGGGGTGAGGGCCACTGGCCGATAGTCATTCAGACCAGTCACTGTAGAGCTTTTTGGGACTGGGATGATGGTGGCAGTCTTCAGGCAGGTGGGAACTGTCTCCAGGGTAAGTGAGGTGTTAAAGATGTCTGCCAGTACCTCACAGAGCTGATCAGCACATTCCTTGAACACTTTTCCGGGGATGTTGTCTGGGCCAGTTGCTTTGTGCGGATTAATCCTCCTGAAGGTACTCCTTACTTCGGCTGAGGTCACGCTGAGATGCTCTTCATTCGGTGGTGAGGTGAGTCTGGTGCTGGGTGGTCTGTTTGGGTCTTCAAAGCGTGCATAGAACTTGTTTAGGGCATCAGGCAGAGATAAGTCTTTGGGGCATTGTTCGCTCCTTCCTTTATAATCTGTTATGCACTTAATGCCCCCCCACATGCTCCGAGGGTCTTGTGAGATGAATTGACCCTCGATCCTCTGTGCATATGTGGCCATGGCCCTCTTAATACCAGCAACCAGCTCTTTCTTGTCCTACTCAGCTCCTCTGAGTTTCCAGACCTGAAGGCAGTGTTCCTGGCTTCCAGCAGGGTACGCACCTCTGCATTCAGCCAAGGTTTTCTGTTTGGGTAGCTTTTAACATTTCTGATAGTGGAGACGGTGTCAGTACATGTACTAATGTAACCCAGTACTGAGGATGTGTATTGGTCAAGATCAAGCGAACCTCCATTTTCAGCAGCTTCTCTGAAAACCTGCCAATCTGTTCGGCCAAAACAATCTCTCAGTATGGGTCCACTGTCTTGGATCCAGCATTTAACTTTCTTTTGTACCGGTCTGGAGCGTCTCAGCGGGGGCATGTAAGCAGGAGCCAGGAAGATTGAGATGTGGTCTGACAGTCCTAGGTGGGGGCGGGGTTCGGCTTTGTATGCATCTTTTACGTTCGTGTAAACACGGTCAAGCGTCTTGTCTCCACGTGTCGGAATTGTCACATGTTGATTAAAACTTGGGAGACAGTCCTTTAGATTCACGTGGTTAAAGTCTCCGGCTACCACGTAAAGAGCCTCGGGGTGTTTGCTCTGCAGCGAGCTGATGATATCATGTAGCTCCTGCAGTGATTCATTAGCATTAGCGTCCGGAGGAATGTAAACGACAGTGATAAAAGTCACCGTGAACTCGCGGGGTAGATAATGTGGCCGACATTTCACAGTTATTTGCTCCAAAGCCTTGGAGCAGGAGCTATTTACAACAGTACAGTTCGTGCACCAACTTTTACTCACGTAAATGCATACTCCGCCTCCCCGTGATTTCCCCGTTAGCTCGCTGCAGCGGTCCGCTCGAAAAAAAGTCTGTCATCCAGCTGGAAGACTGTATCCGGCGTTTCACTTGTAATCCACGTTTCTGTGAGGCAAAGCACCGCACACTTCTTCATCTCTTCTGAGGCGCCCGCTCTCAGACGAAGTAAATCCACCTTGTTGTCCAAAGAGCGGACGTTCAACAGAAAGAGAGACGGCATGGGGAGTTTACCGGCTTTAGCGTTAGCTCGTAGCCTCACCATAACCCCCGCCCGGCATCCTCTCCTCTCAAGCCGGGAGCAGCGCTTCCTCTTCTGCCCACTGGAATGCTTCTGCTGCAGCTTCCAGGTAGATGACTTTAAGATCTGCATTCTGCCGAGCGTAGTTTTGAGTTTGTTGCTGATTTCTGCTATATTTTGTGGCAAATCTGCTCCTATTCTCATCAGTTCGGTTCGGCTATAGTTCACACGCATAAATCGTGTGGAGTCAGGCACAGAGTCAATATCAAAACTTCTAAAAACTGGGATGGTACCGGGAGCCTGTGAAGCTGCTACTGCTCTGAGCGCGGCCATCTTGGCGTATATATTACTGTATATTATGTATATTACTGGCATATATTACTGTAATTAAGTAGATTTTTTGGGTACTTGTACTTGTATGAGTATTTATTTCAAGTGTGTAATTTTTCTCATACTTAAGTACAATTTAGACCATGTAATCTACTTCATTACTTTTAAAATCAGAAGTAGCTACTGAGTACGGCCATAATTTGAATTAATATTCAAACTGTTCATCTGCATCTTTGTGTCCAATAAGGCTCTCAGATCATGAACGCATCAATTACTACGACGTAAGCAAAGGACAACTCTGTACAGTGGAGAGTTATTTATGGACTGAAGATTTGGAGAAAAAAGCCAAAATGAAGACAGAGGACAACAACAGAGAAAATGACGAGGTAAAGGCTGAGGACGAGTGCCCGTGGCCATACCTTGAGGAATGTTTCATGTACTGAGGGTGAAAAGGAGACAGTGTCCAGATGCAAACTTTGTTTGATCTCTACTATGATAGCAGCTTACAAGACTTCAGCATTTAATCTCAGAAAACATATTGTGGTACATAGATTTTACAGCTGTATGATATTGCTTTTTATTGTTTGTATGCGTGGGTTATTAGTTCGTCTAAGTATGCAAAGATCTTAGATATTGTCACTGCCATCGGTTTGTCTGGTACTAAAATAAGACAGAGCTTCTGAGAAATGAGCTTTGAATGTAGTTATTATATTTATATTTATTATACACAGTAAATCAAGTTGAATGACTTATATTGCATTATACACAATAAAACATAAATTGGTTAAAAAGTAATTAATGCTCTGAGTAGTTTTTGAAAGTAATACTTTGTGCTTTTACTTAAGTTTTTTTTATAACACCCATACTTTTACTTGTAATTGGTGCAATGTAAGCAGTGTAACAGTACTTGTACTTGAGTACAAATTCCCAGTACTCTTTCCACCTCTGTTGACGACCAGCTTTAATTGTTGCGTACCTCAAACAGAAGTCCGTCTCCTGACATGATGACTATAGCGTCCCACAGTGAAAGGTTAGCTTCCTTCACATGCTCCCGGGCGTGATCCTTCCTCTCTGTCAAACACAAGCACACATAAATGTGTCATATTGTTCTCTGTGCAGGTGTGTCTTTCCTGTGTCACAAAAAGACACCTGGACAAATTTGTTCTGTGACCTTCCAAATTTTCAGGAGAAGGGTGACGGTTGGTCAACCCGCAGGTCCGGCAACTTTCTGTTTCAGTTGGAATGAAGTCCGGCTGCTCGAGTACGTGGGTATTTATTTTATTTTTTGTTACTTTTTTGGATCCTATGATCATCTACCTTTTCAGGACCTGTGGCCCTTATGGAGACCAAAGCCTGGTCCTAATGCGGTGGAGCATCCATTAAGGGTTAGTTAAAGGGTTAGTTAGGGTGTAAATTATGTTTAGGATGGAGTGATGAAGATTAGGCCACAAAAATGAATGCAAGACGATATAATGTCCTAATAAGGATAGAAAAAATAATTTGTGTAGGTGTGTTTGTGTATAAAGTGTAGAAAATGATCTCCATGACACAATAATATCAGACCATATGGTGATGAAAGAGCAGATTCTTGGCTCCCCACAACTTTAATCTTCTTTCTTTTCCCTCACCAGTTCCCAAATTAAAGAACGGCAGACAAAAAGAAAGCTGATCCTCAGTGACTGAAGGACTGCTCAATTATCCAGGAGCACTTTGACAAATGGACCTGAGGCAAAGCAACCTGAGGGTAGACCAGCACCTTTGAGTCACCACAGCCTTTGTTGACTTTGTGCTGTATGATAAATTATTTTGTTAAAAATAATTAAACAAATCCAAAATTAGACAGAATCATCTGCTGTTTAGCGAAAATGATCTTTTTCACATTTTTTTACAACAATAATTAAAATATAAAACAATACAGTAGGTTGAGTGAAGCATCTTTGTAATGACACTCGTGCCATATTTCAAAAATGATTATGTTCCAAAAATTAAGAATACATTTTTTAAAGACTGCTTTAAGTGTCTGCATCAAATTCACTTGCAGTTCAGCTTTTCCCAGGCACCTCTAATGCACTCAGCCTGCACGTCCTACTGCGTGTTTGAAAAACATTTATTTGGTCGTGTGTGTGTAGTGCTTCATTTATGCTCCAAGTGTTCTTGAGTGACATCTTGCACTCATGAGACATGAGGAAACACCCACACACTCGGGTGTGAGCATGTGACAAACAGGTATTGTTTTGGGAAGCTGAGGTGAATGAGAGTCTCTCCAGCTGTTGGATGATTACAGATGTCAGGTTTTTAGGTTTTTTAATTCCATTGAGGAAACAAGAGCCAGAGGACCAGGGTCAGTCACAGTTCATCGCTGCACTAGTACAGTCATCAAAGAGAGTCACTTTAAAAATAAAAATTTATACACACACACACATATATATATATATACATATATACACATATACGTATATATATACATATATACACATATACGTATATATATACATATATACACATATACATATATATATACATATATATATACATATATACACATATACATATATATACATATATACATATATATATACATATATACACATATACATATATATATATATACACATATACATATATATATATATATATATATATACACATATACATATATATATATA